AAGATTACCTTACATAGTTATGTTTAACTATGTAAGGTAACATTGAGTGTTGAGAAAGGTACATATAATACAAATAAAATGTATTATTATTTAAACTTAATCATGTGGGCTGATGTTTATCTGTGTGTTGTGTGTGTGAGGAACAACCTTGCCACCAAACTCATAAGCGCAGTCTAGCGGCGTCCTCTGCCTCTTGTTTCTGAGGCTGGGTGAGGCCCCAGACCTCAGCAGCAGCTCCACCACAGCCTGGTGCCCCCCCCGTACCGCCTCATGCAGAGCCGTGTTGCCCTGCACGTTTGCTACGTTCACCAAAGCATTACTCTACACACAAATGTATTTTTTCATTAGAATATTAGTGAATAATTATTATCCAGAAAGTCTCTCTGTGTTAGTTTGAGCGTGTACCTGCAGCAGAATGCTGACCGTTTCCAGGTTCCCACAGAGACACGCATGGATCAGAGAGGTGTTTCCATAGTGATCCTTCTTGTTCAGCTTGGCATTGCACTCCAGCAGAAACCTCACAACCTAACAGTAACAAAAAACTGTGTTCACAAACACAAATTCAGGGATCATGAAATAGTGTGTATGCATTTCCTTTGGAAGTCCTAATCAGTGAGGAATTGAATGAAAACAATACTCTTTTGCAAGCTATCCATCCATCCATCCATCCATTTTCTTTACACCCTTGTCCCTTAGTGGGGTCGGGAGGGTTGCTGGTGCCTATCTCCAGCTTCGATCCGGGTGAGAGGCGGGGTACACCCTGGACAGGTCGCCAGTCTGTCACAGGGCAACACAGGACAAACAACCATGCACACACACACTCACACCTATGGACAATTTAGAGAGACCAATTAACCTGAAGTCATGTTTTTGGACTGTGGGAGGAAACCGGAGTACCTGGAGAGAACCCACCATGCACAGGGAGAACATACAAACTCCATGCAGAAAGACCAGGGCCGGGAATCGAACCCAGAACCTTCTTGCTGCAAGGCAACAGCTCTACCAACTGTGCAGAAATTACACTTCTTTTGCAAGCTATAGAAGTGTAATTTTTACTTATTTATATTAGATTTTATTTTGAGAGTAATATTTTTGTACATAGCAATCTCTTAAAACATATTTCACTAGTTATTAATGTTTAATTTGTTATTTTAGTTGTACTGAAACAGATATTAAGTTGCAGATGTTAACTGCAATGTAACTATGAAACTATATCATGATATTTCTGAGAATCAAGATACAGAAAAAAAGCCTTTTTCCCCCTTATTGCTCTATTTTAAACTTAGTAAACTGAAAACACCTTTGTCTCTCAGCCGACTTCTACACTTAATCTGCTGTTTATGGGGCTCATCCCCTGCTGAAGCATTGTCCCCTGCACTGGGCCCTTCCTACCTGAACATGGCTGTTTTGGCTGGCCAGGTGAAGCGGGGTGGCGCTCTGGATGGTGCGGACGTTGACGTTCGCCCCATGGCGGATCAGCAGCGCCACCAGGGATGAGTGGCCATGCAGGGCGGCCACATGGAGAGGCGTGAAGCCGTCTGCATTGCAGCTGTTGACGCTCAGCGCTCCAGCCAGCTGCAGAGGGAGCTGCAGGGCACCAGAGACACCATCAAACACAAACTGTCTTCTGACTGGAAAAAGTTTTATTCAGGCAAACCCTGTCAAACCTTCTGAGCGGGGGCACAGTTTGGACACTGACAGAGTGGGTGACAGAGGTGTGACTCAGACTGCAGCTCTCCTTCATCCTCCTCTTCATCTGTCCACTCCAACAAGTAGCGCATCTGAAACCCAGACACACACAATGGTTCACAAACCGCCCTTTATCAAAAAGAGCTCAGATCAGCTCACTTCGTTTAACTAACTCACCATCTCCACATCGCCATCAGCAACGGCTCGCAGTAACTTCTCCACCTGGAAAACAAGTACACAGCAGCAGACAGCAGGGCTGGAGGTCAGGTTCCTACTGCATTGTCTCTCTGCTCAGCAGCATTAAGCCATAAAACTGTTGGGATCCCAGGTTCTGCTTCAGGTGTTCAGATATGGGTTTGGCAGACTCTGCTCTGTGTGTGTGTGTTTTTGTTCACCTCTCGGTGTCGAACACGCTCAGCCTCAGGCTTGGCTTCAGAGCTCATAGAAGATGTGCTGGAGACAGAGGAGCGGCGACTGCTGCAGTCTGACGCCAGAGGGGAGCAACCTGCAGACTGAGGGGAGAAAAAGAAACCAAAAAAACATCCAAAGAGATGTTAGAATGAAAACTCACCAACTGTCAACAAATCTGCCTCCAGTTTGCACACAAAGGTTCTGTTCTGGTACTGGATCAAACTTGTTGCAAAGAGTAAGCCAAAGGTTTATCAAACCAATCAATCCCGATGGTTTTGTAATTTTTCTCTGTAACCAAAATCACCGATGTTTTTGGTGCAACTTATAAGAATATCTATGAGGACTTTTGGGACATTTTTTCCTTTTAATGCCCCTCCATTATTTACATATAGACAAAAAAGTTTAGAAAAAAAGAACAACAAGCAGATAGGCTAGATATAACTTGACATCAAGTAAGGCAGAGGCAGCAGTGTGAGAAAGTGTAAGAAATACTGCCCCCTGCAGGTGGGAGTGAGCAGTCATTTAAACTAAACTGATGATGGTGTCCAATTTTAACAGATTAACAGTGTTTGGTGACGGTATCATTCAGATAAAAAGTTCCTATGGTTCAGAATAAATAAATAGATGATTACAACAAGAATCCTAGAGACTTGATTTCTTTGTGTGAAGCTAGATTTGGATAAAAAAGATTTACACTGAAGGGCTGCACAGTGGCACAGTTGGTAGAGCTGTTGCCTTGCAGCAAGAAGGTCCTGGGAGTTTCTGCACGGAGTTTGCATGTTCTCCCTCTGCATGCGTGGGTTCTCTCCTGGTACTCCAGCTTCCTCCCACAGTCCAAAAATATGACTTTTAGGTTAATTGGTCTCTCTAAATTCTCCTTAGGTGCGAGGGTGTGTGTGCACGGTTGTTTGTCCTGTCTGTTTCTGTGTTGCCCTGCAACAGACTGGCAACCTGTTCAGGCTGTACCCCGCCTCTCACGCGGAATGTTAGCTGGAGATAGGAACCAGCACCCCTCCCGACCCCACTAAGCGTCAAGAGTGTATAGAAAATGGATGGATGGATGGATGGATTTACACCGAAAAAAGTTTTGGATCAGCTGAATTTGTTTTTCTATGTTCACTTTTCTGCAAAAGCAATGCTTTATCTGTTTTACAGCTTAAGAACAAAATGGAGAATATTATTCACTAGAACAATTATGGAGCTGAGAAATGTGGATTTCTTGAAGAATTTCTGTGTTTCTTAATACTAAGACTGTAATTAAACAGTCATTCATTACTGCTATCAATCAGTTTTTCCACTAAAAATCTGACCGGTATCAGTTGAACAAGCAAAGCACAAACTTCTCTGTTTCTCTGGATCTTCTCAGTAATATCACCTCCATCTGCTGTAACATTTAGACGCTGTTTATTGAAGAACTTAGAAAAGGAAGACATAGTGTCTAGAGACTCACATCATTTCTGCTGTGGTTGTTCTGTGTCAGCTTCAACAGCATGAGGATCTGCAAGGAAATTAAATATGGACTAAACAGCATTTGTTCAAAATCATTGAAGTCAGACCTTCATTCTGAAGATTATGTAACATGTTCTCCTGGAGTGAAGTACTTTGAATCTATGGCTCACCTTAGAGTTGAGTGCACACTGCAGTGGGGTCTCTCTATTTTTGTTGAGGATGTGTGTGCTCGCTCCATTCTCCAGCAGCACCTGGATGATTCCTTCATATCCCCATCGAGCTGCTATATGCAGCGCAGTGTCACCTTTATCGTTCTGCAGGTCCAGGCGGCATGTTTGGACATCGTAGTACACCAAGGCCTTCACACACTGACGCCAGGCACAGAAAGAACTGTGGCTCTCAAAACTCTCAGCAGGTTTTCAGCAGAAAAAAAATCTACATTCTGGTTTTTACTGGAGGGAAACCTCCATGACCTTTAATCTTGTGTTGCATTTACTGCACTTCCAAAGAGAGAAGATGATGCTCATAAAAATGTTACTGTTACACTGGGAACTGAAGTAAAATGAGCCATTTTTCACAGGATTGCTGCATCAAAGCAACCTTAGTCTGGTGGCACAGAATGCTTTGTTTAGTGGCCCTGGAAACCAAACATCAACATGTGGAAAGAACACTAGAGCTGAATCTTTGCTCAAGAGTCATAGTTTGTTTCTTAATATGTTTGGAAGTTTGAGACTTTATGGCATCAGAGAAAAGCCTTTTAGCCTCTCCTGCTCCACCAGAGCCTGTCTTTTTCAAAAGTACATTTTCTTTTTTGTACCTCTCCAGTGTCATTCTGTCTATTTCTGCTGAAATACACTTCACTGGTGACTCTGTCAAAAGCTTCAGTAATGGCTGCCTTACTTGTTTTGTGCTTCTATACATGAGACATGATGTCCAAATGCAGAACATGTAGCCTCCAGCTAAAATACATGCACTTAGTGTTTGGGGATGTTGAGCCAGTAGCACTATATATGTATTATTTGGTAACATGATCAATGTTTTTTACTGTTTCCTAGAAACAAGTGGTGGCTCAACTTAAACCAGTCTCCCCTAAAAGCAAAAAAAAAAAAAAATCAGACATGATTTTTATGCTCATCTACATCACTGGGAAATGATCAAATATGTTGCTAAGTCTTACACAAAAATTTCCCAGGACTTCTCAGATATTCCAAACATCAGAATTATGTTATTTGTAATTACATGTGGTATCCAACTCACCATTAATACTAACAGACTGGAAAACAACAATCCACGAACTGAATGTTATGTTTCTTTAAAGTTTTTTTTCCAACTTGATACAGTCTGCTGCTGAACAGGTGATGAAACTGACCTTGAAAGAATATAATGTTGCCAAAACTTGTTGTAAACGATTTGAGAATACATTCGTGTCAGGTATTTTCTTTTTGTTCTGTGTGTGCTGTGATTTAAAAAACGAATACTTAGATTTGTTAACAGGGTAAAAGGTCAGTGGTTGACATACGTCCTCATGTCCATACATGCAGGCCAGGTGCAGCGGTGTGTTTCCATTGTTGTCTTGGGCCTCGGTGTTGGCCTTGTAGTGCAGAAGCAGCAGCTGGAAGAGAGATGGACAGCAGATCAGAGGGGTGAGTCTTAGCCTCAACAGATCAAAGCAGTGCATTCATGCATATTCCTGTGTGTTTACACTCACTGAGACGCCCTGGTATCCTCGCTGGCAGGCCAGGTGCAGCGGTGTGAGGGCGTGGTAGTCTGTGGGGTTAACTGGAGCTCCTTTATGCACCAGCAAGTCGATCAACTGGGCCTGACCTGCAATATCAAAAACATTAAATGGTTGATCTTCTTATACTTGTTCAGTGCTTGAACTGTCTGTGTTTCAGCAGCAGCTCACCGCAGATTGCAGCGGCGTGCAGTGGAGTGTATCCTCTGTCATCTCTGGAGAACGGTGTGATGATGGAGAGATCATTCAAGCGGCTGAAACAAAAGGTTACCGTGTACGTAAGTTTAAATAACTGCACTGCCTGCCCTGTCAGAGGCTCTCACTTCACAGAGAGCCATGACAGGATAACAAATGTAGACTCATATCATCTAGATGCTGCTGCTGTTTAGAACTCAGAAAGTGAGAGGATGTACATATGAACCCAATAGGAACAGCTGTGACATCAGGTAAACATTGTCTGGATGAGACCATTAGGGCACTGAATGAAGAACAAGATGCTCTTTATGGACAACTTGGAAAATGTAGATGGCTGGTTACATGGTTGGTTCCTTAAGAAACACATGTGATGCTTTAGGCCAGAGGTTCCCAAACTGTGGGGCGTGCCCCCTATGGGGGGGCGCAGGAAGCGGTATGCATGAATAAAAAAATAAAAAATAATAAAATAAAAAAAAACACAACAATGATGAACACTGTGTGCGCTGGGGGGTGGGGCGGGGGATTGAGTGGATGGAAGTCCCAGAAAATGTTTGGAAACCACTAGGGGGGCCCAGGAGAAAAAGTTTGGGAACCACTGCTTTAGGCAAAGTTTTCCCGGTAAACCTTTGGCTGTACCATCTGCATGAACGTGACACATCATGTACACTAACAGACAGTATTCCTGGTGGTTGTTTCAAAGTACCAATGGTTCAGGAATGATTTGAGGCGTTCACTTGGCCTCCTTGATGAACCAAATCTCCACTCAGTCATACATCTATAACTGCACAGACATATCACATTATTATTCCTGATTGGTGTAATGTAGAAGTGATTTAGTCTCGTCATCGAAGATATGGTAAACGATGTGGGATGCCTACATTTATAATCTAGGAGTGTGAATACTGTATGACACACACTGACCCTGACAGATGGCCGTCACAGAGGTCACAGGAACAAAGGGGATGACACATCCTGACATCTTCATCAGCTTCACCTTCACTCAGCAGACGTTCCACTTCGGCTTCATTTCCTTTAGCTATGTGCTAAAAAACACAGACAGAAAAGAGGATGGAAGTGAGCTACTGATTCAATGGACAGCAGGACGTGTCCAGAATAAGAATATTGGAAGAGATACTTTTATAAATAGAACGGCTCTGGAGGAATACTGAGGGAATACCAACTACACCACAATGAAACAAATATTCAGATTAAATTCTTACACTTCACTTCTTTGGAAGAATCCCTTTGTAATGCAACCACATCTAAAATTTAGTTACGTACATAAAACATCACACAGTTAAAACCAAAATTGCTCATACCACTGGCAGATTTGAATATTAAATTACTTTCATTCAACCAAAAACCTTGTTTCTGAAAGGAAAGAGGCAGGTGCATCTAAGAAAACAACAAAAAAAGTCAAAAACAGGGCCAGTTTGAAAAAAATCACACACACACTAATATATATATATATATATATATATATATATATATATATATATATTTCAAAAAGGATTTTTATCTTTCTTAATAATTAGAGAGACCATCTTCATCGACATTACAGTACTCAAGCCTTTTAGAAATGCCTTTCAAAAGCGTTTTGCCTGTTTCAACCAGGGCTTTGAAAATGGATCTCTAAGTTGAAAACTTCTTTAGTTTGTCCAGATTCTCCCATCTTCCCGTTGGGTCTGTGGCTGAGCCACAATGTCATACTGAGCCATTCAGAAAAAGAAATATGAGCTTAAAATCAAAAAACGCATTGAGAACATAAACCTGACGGAGATAGTAGGAAAAACTATGGGCTTTGATCTGTGTCAAAGGTCACAGATCAGTGATCTCAGAAAACGAGTCAGGAGTCTCATGGACAGGACAACATTGTTATCTTGTAACGTACTGTTGGAGTCATTTCTGTTTTCAAATCAAGACAGAAGTAAAAGCAATTCCCTTCCTGTTGTCATGTTGTGTACATTGTCAGTGTGTCACTAGTTTCAATCTGAATGTGTCCAATCACGTCCTACTTATTTAAAACTATTGAAATCAAATTTATAAAACCTTTATTTAGCACTTATAGCATCAATAATTAGGCCCGAGCAGCGAAGCGCTGGCGAAAGCCTATTGTAATCGCAAGATTTCTCGATTATTTTATTTATTTATTTTCACCGTCACTTTGTGCGGCTGCTTGGGGCCTTTAACATATTCAAAAACTCACCAAACTTGACCCAAAATTGTCCCTCAACCAAAATTTTTGGATTCCGGTGGAATTGCAAGTGGACATGGCCAAACTGCTCTACAGCGCCCCATAATGTGAGTTGGGGGAAACCATAGGTCATAGAGATCTGAAACTCAGTACGTAGATAGACGCTCCTCCCACCCCCGATTCAAGAAAAAAAAGTCTCTTGGAGGACCCCTCTAAAATGCACAGGGAGGTGGCCATTTTGGGTCAAAGGAGAAATTTTGGCCATTTTTCATTTTTACTCATGTCGAACTTTGACAAACTCCTCCTCAGGCATTCGACCTATCGGCTTCATTCTTGGTCAGAATGCAGTAAAGGCATGGGGCTTTAAAAATTAACTTTTTGTATATGTTCACGGGGCGTGGCAGAGTGGCGAACTTGGCATACTTGCTGAAACAAACGAAACACTATAACTTTCTCATAAAAAGGTCAATTGGCACCAAACATGGCATGAGGGATCCTGGTTGGATGCCTGACGATCCCATGTCATCATAGTCTGACCTCACCTAAGCCCTGCCCCCTCAAAACAGGAAGTGTCTTTTTTTACTTGGAAAGATCCAACTCTGGCTCTCTTGACTTAATCAAGATTATCTTGTGTCAGATGACTAATAAGTTGGTCTTGCTTGCTTTGAAGCGCCAAGAGTTTTCAGTGGAGGGCGTTGCCGTGGTGGCGTGGTGAAGTCAGAGGTCACGCGACTGCCATACGTTTTGCTCTAGATTCCACGTTTCAACCCAGCTACACCAAACTCACTGAGATCGATCCTTGTCCACCCCCCGACAGGAATCCAGTGCAATCGTTGGTGGGCATGGCCTAATTCTTCCACAGCACCCCCTAGAAAATTTTTAAAAAATCTGCCCCAAGCCATGCTTTATCCCAGAATTCTGAAACTTTGTACACATGTAGCTTGTCAGAAAATACAAAAAAGTCTCTTGGAGCCATGCTCTCAACCCAACAGGAAGTCAGCCATTTTAGGTCAAAGTCGTAATTTTGTCTATTTCATTGACGTCCTATCTGAGCGAACTCGTCCTAGAGCTTTCGAGATGCAGGCTTCAAACTCAGTCAGCACAATCTTGAGGCATTGAAGGTCAAAAGTTATCAAAATAATTTTTCTATGTCAAAGCATGTGGGCGTGGCCAAGCCTCAAATCTGGCCATTCTTCATGAAATATCAAGATGGAATAACTTCCCCATATATGCTCCCAGCTGAATCAAACTTCATTTGTATCATCACAGACCAGAGCTCATCACATTTAAGTTATCAATTGGTGACTTCAGTTTAGCCCCGCCCCCTTCCAACAGGAAGACTGCTCTAAATCATACATGCATTATCCTATTTGCAGTAAACTTGTTAGACTTGACCTTTGCTAGCCTCTAAATAGCCCAATAGCTTGAAATTGCAATTCAGATCGATCACGCTTGTGCATCGTCAGGGAGCGCTGCAGAAGATGTAGGTGTGTGTCGCCTGGCGGACGGCTGCGGGAACTGCGCGAGAGCGTCGGTGGTGGCGAGAGAGGAGCGGTGCTGGAACCCCCGCGGTTGCCAATAGGCCTTCGGCGTGCTTCGCTGCGAGGGGCTCCAACGCCGCTTGCGGCTTTAATTGTTTATATGTTTATACTTTTTTCATGCAGAGATCATCTCAGAAACTGTCTTAATTCACGTGTATATTTGTTTTCTGTAACTTTACGGGTTTCTGTGGCCCTGCAGCAGGGGCGCGGTATATGGGGGAAAAGTGATGACAATTCTAGGGGCCCTGACCAAGAGGGGGTCCTCCACAATTTTATATATATTTTGTTCATAGAAATTAAAAAAAGAAAATTGGGGCCCTGTCATTTACAAAATTAATCATATTGTATTTTCAAAGATTGTTTTTAGCAGTGAAAATTTAATGTTCCCACTCCCAGATCAAAAAACACACATCCGTATTTGCCCTGAACGCGCCCTATCTGCGTTAAATGGTTCGTTCCTGCTTGGAGAGCTTCACCGTGACGCTGTTCAGCTGCAGACAGTGGAAGACACGAACGATTGTGGCAGTTACTATGCTGCTAAGAAATGTTATAAAATCAGGTTTTCAAAAAAAAAAAAAAAAAGAGGGAGAGAGAAAAAGGCAAGAGTGTTAATTCAATATGGAGAAACTCACACGGAGAAAAACATCAGTTAGAAGGATTTATTAGACTGTGTTCTTTTTTGGCGCTCGGGCCCAGCTGAAGACGTTTGTGCTGAGCATCATGAAACGATTTGATGATTGGCTCGGGCTGGAGCTCAGGGTAGTCATCTCCCCAAAAGAAGCTGCCAGGCCGAGGCCTGGCTGGCTGCAGGGCCTTGAGCCGACCCAACAGCTAAAGCTCATTGGCTGGATGATTCTGCTTGCACGGTTGACGGTTAGTGGGTGATGCAGTTGGAGAAGTCTGTGATAGCCAGGCCATCCGGCGTGGAGATGCGCCGCTGTCTGCAGGCGCATTAGCCTTGTTAGATAGCGGCTGGCTTGCGTGCCGAGATGCTGTTGAAGAGGCCTGAGGTGGCTGGGCGATCTGGTGTGAGGATGAGCCACTGCCTGCAG